TCCCCTATTATCTCCTCTATCCTTGGAACTAGCTTTCTCCCATCCTGTACCTATGTTTTCTTTTTTCGTTGGACCCCCGCTAGTCCAAAACAGAATCGTATTGCCCGCTTTCTAATTAAGACAATTCTGTACAGCATCTGGAAATTTCGAAATAAATCTACCTTCCACAATGGGAATGACCCCCCTGAGGGTATAATTCGCTATGCCCTCAGCGAGACCAAAAACAGAATTGCGTGCGACTACTTCCGACTCTCGTTATCTAACTTTAGAAACGCTTGGGAGTCCCCATCAATCTGTACAATTGATGGGGACTCCTATAGAATACTTTTGTAAATAGATTACCTTAAGCTTTAGTTAGCATTAGATTAGATTAACTTGGAATTATTTACAACTTAGAATTAGTATTAAACAATCCTAGCGTCTACATTAGCCCTAGCCATACCAATATTATAGATTAAGCTTATATTGATATTAGACCTAACTATTTTTGAATTATTTATAACCTTACATTAGTATTAGTAATATCTGATACTCGTATATATTTAAGAACTCTTGAACTTTGGAACTTTGGACTGTTTATTAATAATTAGTTGGGGCCAAGCCCACGTGCGTTAGCACTTTTATTTTGTAATTTAGTTGGTTTGTTATGAATAAACCCTTTTAAAAACTTAAAAATGAGAGGTTGGCTATGCAGTGCTGACGAGCTCTAAGAAGAGCGAAACAGCTGTCCACTGCTGCCGCTTCCAAGGAACCGACGCTGCGCATGCGTAGTTGCTTCAAATTGGTCAGCATGCTGTTTTTATCGAAGATTCCGGGTGGTAGCTCTTTTATCTGGTTGCCATTCAAACCTCTAAGGAAAGGATATAGCAATGATTTAAAAACCTGTTCTGATTTAGTATGTCAGCCTTCCAGGTAACCCACATAGTTACATAGCGGGCTAGTTTACAACTATTCACCGAAGTGGAGGTGGTTAGTGGTGGATATCTACTGAGCCGCGAAGCGGCGAGGTAAATATCGACTGCTAAGCACCGACACTGAGGTGAATAGTTGATTTAGTATATACTAAAACAGTGAGATAATATACACCACCGTCGTTAATTTGAGTGATTTCTTCGCTTGTCACGGATGCAAACCGAGGTGCCATTTTTTCCCGAGTTGCTCGGAGGTAAATAGCAAAGGATATTCGGAGTTTGACTAGCCAATCAGAGCGCGCCTTCAACGCTATCCACTGTTTTAGTATGTACTAAAAGTGAATATCACCAAAACAATTCTTAAGTTAACAGTAGTTGCTTACAGGATGGTCATGCAGCATGCTGTTTTTGATAAAGACTCCGGGTGGTAGCTCTTTTATCTGATTGTTATCCAAATACCTAAGGAAAGGGTATAACCCGATTTTAAAAAGCCCGTTCTGATTCAGTAGATCAGCTTTCCAGACTCAATCAGCGTTGAGAATAAAAACCGAGCTTGTCTGTTCTTGTGTTTTGTTTGTTTTTTTTTTTTTTTCCTTGTGACGATAAGAAGTACTTCTTCACTGAGTGGGAGGGCCGGACGCAAATATAACTGGCTCGAGGTTATGACGTAAGGACTGAGTTCAGCGAGGTCCGTGCGTCAGGATCGAGATGAATGAATGAGTGAATGAGGATGAAAGGATGTAGGATCCGCCTAATGTTGACAGGGTAACTCTCTCGCCTCTCCTTTTCCTGTTGTTTATTTCGTTTTGATGTTAGTACGGTTAGGGCGGAAATCTTCGAAAAGCAATATCATAATACAAGGTGATACATCAAATGACATTAACAACAGGTCGCTGTAATCACAATAGATATAAAGCAACCACTCTTATGCCGTCAACTTCAAGCAAATATACAGACAAACACGTTTTGCGTATAAGGAATTAAAAAAAAGCTCCAAGTAAAGATGGGATGCACGTTTAAAATAAAGTTAACAGGTCTCCATGGATGAAAACTCCTCATATGTTTGAGGAACATTTTGATCAAATATTGTAAATGTCGGGTGCATGGCGGTTTAATTATAAACATCATCGACAAAATATGAAAGTTATTGATAAATTGCTTACAGAACAAGCAGGTTTGTGTTGTGATGGAAGACCTCGGGGGGCAACCCTTCTATCTCGTTGCTATACAATTTCCAACGAAATAGAAAAACTCCCAGATTGCAAAGATTTGATTCGAGCTAGTCATTTCGAAGAGGTTTTAAAGATTAGGAATCAAACAGCGCCATCTGAGTCAATGATGACATAGTGGATTAGATGTGAGGATCACCGAAACAATTCTTAAGTTAACAATAGTTGCTTACAGGCCGGTGAGCATGCTATCGAAGACTCCGGGTGGTAGCTTTTCTATCTGGTTGCCACTCAAAACCCTAAGGAAAGGATATAACCATGATTTAAAAAACCTGTTCTGATTTAGTATATCGGTAGATCAGCTTTCCAGAATCACTTACATAGTAACATAGCGGGTTGGATGTGAATATCACCGAAACAATTCTTAAGTTAGCAATAATCGCTTACACGCCGATCAGCAAGCTGTTCTTATCGAAGATTCCGGGTGATAGCTCTTTTATCTGGTTGTTATCCAAATACCTAAGGAAAGGATATAACGCCATGTTAAAGAACCTGTTCTCATTTGGTAGATCAGCTTTCCAGAATCACTAAGTGTTGAGAATAAAAACCAAGTATTCAGTGTCTTGTCTGTTTAGTGTGAAGAAAAAGAAACATTGTAGGGTAAAACATCGAGCAGATTTCCAGTTAAAAGTGTTGTCTAACAAAGGATCTTTTCAGCAGTGACGTTTATTTAGTACTAACGTGTACTGCTCACAGTAGAGAACGCAGTCAACCAGCGGGACTCGGTCATCTGGCAATTCTTTGACTAATTTTCGTGAAGTACTAAACGTAATTTTATATTTCTTATATGCTTTCATAGACCACTTATTTGAGTCGCACTATTGTCAAATCGTTTAGCTTTGTTACACGCGGAGAGGTTTGTCGGGGTTCTGGAAGAAGAAAAAATAACTTTTTTTCTCAAATTTTCTAAATAAAGATACCAAGTACATGGCGGATTAGATATGAATATCACCGAAACAATTCTTAAGTTATCAATAAATTGCTTAAAGAAAGGTCAGCATCTTGTTTTTTTCAAAGAGTCGGAGTGGTAGCTCTTCCATCTAGTTTCCAATTAAATCCTTATTGAAAGATATATAAAATACTTCTTCAGATTTTTATACCCACCCGTATAATGAATCTGAGAACGGACGCGTTGTTGATTCACTCAAATCTCAGCAACCACCGGGCAGCATGGCTGTTACGTACATACTTGTAAAATGTCATGTACTTGTCAAATAGTTGTAATTACGTATACTAATGTAGACTATATTTAAGACTTGTGTTGTTGGTTACATTGTAATTTTTTTCTGAACAACGAAGTTGCTTCTTTTGATACTACATTTTGGCGACGAAGGTGGAACCTTGAATGGCTGGAAATCAGTTGCCACCGCCTGCTCCGTTACTTACGAATCCTGGCGATCCACCCGTTGTTGGCATTGCTGGTTCCAAAGTTTTCAAACGTACTTGGTCGCACGTGGGTTGGCCGACAA